TTTATGATGTTAACCATAAGAGTCTTCAGTATCAAAATAAGTTCGTCGCGAATTATTTTAAAGGTGAAACTTCTATGCTTAGTTTTACGTTTATTTACTTTAGAATTTCGCGCAAACCTACACAAGGACTATCTGAAAAGAATCATCCTAATTCTGAACAGATATATTATACCCTTCAAACCCAAACCCTTGGGATATACTTATATCATCGAATAGTGGGATTTGGTCGTTACTCTTATAACGCATCCACGGTTCAAAACTACAAAGCGCGTTTTGTGTTTTTTTTGCGACAACGAGCCGCGAACCACGAACTCTTAAATTCATAGGCCGAGCATGTTATAACCAGTAGGCCACCCCAGGGTGAAAAACCAGTTAAAAGAGATGTGTTCTTTTGTGTTATCACAATATGTTCCTATACAGTATCGTTTCAGACTTGAAAGAGTGTTTACGAAAAGCCTAAATCCTAATAAATAAAACAACTCTCTGGATATAGCTTGATAAATACGTAATTTCCCGAAGTTGTTCAAATATACGCGATTTTTATAGCGAGTACAGACATTCACTTATGGGAAATCCGCTTTGTGCAGTACTGACCTAATTTTGTGCCCTAATTACACACGCTGATGACATGTGTTTGTCTTAGATATTTCTCATAGACGATGCTGGAGATTTATTTGTTTGTTTTGGAATTTCGCGCAAAGCTACACGAGGGCTATCTGCGCTAGCCGTCCCTAATTTAGCGGTATAAGACTAGAGGGAAGGCAGCTAGTCATCACCACCCACCGCCAACTCTTGGGCTACTCTTTTACCAACGAATAGTGGGATTGACCGTCACATTATAACGCCCCCACGGCTGAAAGGGCGAGCATGTTTGGTGGGATGCGGATTCGAACCCATGCCGGGCACAGGAGATTTATTTATGGAGCTTGTATCTATATTTCTGTAACATTTTTCTGTTTAAATTTAGAAATGTTTGGAGGTTAAACTGTCCCTACTCTTATTTGGAACAACCAACGATGTGGGTAATGCCTACACAAATCATAGAGAAAACGTAATTGCAGATATAATGCCATATTCTCTCAGTCTAAAACAGAAATATCTCGAGAACAGATAGAGAGTTTCAAAGATTTTGTGATTTAAAAGCGTTACCCAGCGACACCTGCAGTCGTTTTTTGACAACTTGTTTTATCAAATAGAGATTATTTTACTTTGTTCATTATTGTATCCAATCTCTTTTATTCAACTCTCTCAAGTGAAATCTTTAGTTTTAACTACTCTATACGCATCCTCAGCATTCCCCCGTGCACTAGAAAATTAGAGAAAGGTAAAACAAAGGGATCAAATTAAAAATACACTTTATTCACCTTACTTTGTATTTCTTGTGATAATGTTTCTGCCATCAATAAATACACCATCTAGTTGCAATTACTAGTTGTTTGTGACTTCTCCAGCTGTATCAGTTGAGTGTGTCCTAAATTATTTCAATTACTGTATGTGTGTTATTAATTTGCCTAATTAAGAAGCTGGTACAGACATTCGCCCTTTTAATTAAAAGAACGTTAGTTAAGAATTTTTATGGCCCAGCACACAACAATAACTTTCAGTTGTGTTTCCTATAAACGTATGAAATCAGAATTAAAGGTAGATATTGTTCGGAAGAAGACAGCTAAAAGAGAATACTAGTCTATTCGAAGATCGATGTCAATGATGCAGAAATTTATCGTTGCGCCATCTACCGAAGCTTTGATAAACTACAGTAATGAATGAAATAGCTCTCTTTTTTTCTTTTTACTATTCAACTATTTACCGAAGTTATTTTAATATTTAGGCATTGGAAGAGCATTCACTATATGTCTTTATTTGCCTTCATTTTTCAGCTTCATAGAATTCATTTCACAGTTCGTTATCGGTTTAATAAAAATACGATGAGTACACTCCGATATTCTGAAGATTTATTTTGTGCCCTTATTATTTTAATTTTCTTCAATATAAAGTTAAGGTTACATCTCACTCTGAGGTATTTTCAGGTTCACTAATTTGCCTTTCGAGTAGTAACCGCAAATAACAGATTGTGGACTGTTCTTTCGAATGCAGTATTCCACACAATTCATGCAAATTATTTGGTCACCTTTTGACCTTCTCAGTTTTGACTAAAATCCTCCAAGGCTTAAGAATGTTCATATCGGGACTCTGTACATGTCAAGCTGTGGATATGAGTGTCCCATCAGCTTCTTTATTATCAGCTATTGTTTAATCACATTTACTATATACTAGGGATCATTGTCTTGCTGGAAGATGGATCCCTGTCGATAGAGGGAATGGCGTGATAGATCGGTCTGCCTGTACTTTCCAACAGTCAGGGAGCCACTAATTTTGTGTAGGTTATCGACAACATTGACCAAGATGTAGCCCCAAACTTGTACCGATCCATCATCATTCTTCACCATAGACGTTGACAATAATATCATTCTTCTCCCCGTCATCGAACAAGTTGTCATTGACTGTTAATTATTTGTTTATACCCTTATAATTACAATATATTGCTCAGTTTTAATAAGCTATGCCAGATTAACGAAAAAAAATTACTTAAAATATAAAATAAAACATTAAATTTTGAGGTAAAAAATCTGTTTCTAAACCTTTCTGAAGAGATAATGATATGAATAAGATAATGATATGAATTATCTTTCTGTCAGTTATATTGTTAAAACACGCCTTTATTCGGGCTACAGTCAATGAGAATAATTGTTTTTATGTTAATTATATTATTAAAACACACTTTTATCCTAGTCAAAGCCAATGATATGAATTGTTGTTCTGATAATTGTATGGTTAACACACACCTTTACTCTGTCTACAACCAAATATCCGGAAGTGTATGACGTCACTATTTCATTTGGATTTTATGCGCTGTCGACTAATTAGTATTATTATATTGAGACTATTGTGAAATAGTTTAAATTCCATGATATCTTTGCGAAAACATGTGACTACGTCCAACTTAAATAATAAAAACATTTTTTTTTTGCTAATATAAATAACAGATGATCAAGTGATTGAAGAAATGTACAACACTTGCTTTTAAATAAGTTTTTATTGATTAACATTTCAAGCAGCATAATAAACGAAGCGATTCATGCACGACATCTGTTAAGCAGTGCCTATATCACTTGAAAACGTTGATTATACATAAAGAAAGTAAAGTTTAAAGAAATAATAATAATGGATCTTCACCAAAATTTGTATGGAGGCTCATTAAGTCCATGCGGGGGTACATACAAATCGTCAGTTTTGCGTTTTGCGGTTTTATGGGCGTTCTTTAGTTTTTTACCACTACTTCGCTCCCTGTTGATGGATCTTCACCAAATTTGGCATGAAAGTTTGTTGGTTCCATGTGGAGATACATGCAAAGTTGCGGTTTCACATTTTGTGTTTTGCAGTTTTTATGGGCG